CATCGTCGTAGAGAAATTATTTCATTTGAAGGTCCACTCGGAACAAAATATTAATGTACACTACCATAATTAATTAGTTATGGGGGTGCTCTTTTAATAAACTTAATTTTGCCTGCATAAATTGACGGTGCATTTTATTGAGATTTTACCTTCAAATAGAAGCAAAGACATTATCGAGGTTGCAGAACAAACTTGTCGTGCTCGCTATAATCGAATACCATACAACTTCTAAGACCCATCCCGACCTCAGGTCTTGACCATGAAAATGAAAGGCAGGAAAAAAAAAAACACTCTTGGAATCGAAAGGAGGATATTCTGCTCACACCCGAGAGAGAAAAAAGAAGAAGCTTGACCTAAACCTCATTGAGAAAAGAAGCAAACTTTTTGACCAAACTTATAGACTTATCATGAGCAGGATCAAAGAGATGGAACTCATGCGCCACACCTTCATGTTCCACAACCTCCAAAGCCCCTTTATACCCACTTCTTTTCAAGTCTTCGTAAAAGATCCCACCTACTTCTCTTAGATGATCCTTCTCGGCAAGAAACACCAACACCTTCTCGCACCCTAACTTCGCCAAATCCTCTGGCGGCGGCTTTAGCTTAGGGTCTTGCTTCCCACAGTTTGTTGGATACATAAACATCCACATTTCGTCATCCTCCATACCACCAAAAAAAGGGTGTACCATAATCATTCCAATAAACCTCACCCCAGGCAACCCGTATGACCCGATCTGAACTGCCAGGAAATTGGACATATTAGCTCCACCACTATCCCCGCCCATAAAAAACCTACTGAAGTCCGCATTGTCATTCAACCATTGCTCAGGCCCGTTTCCCTTGACATGTGATGCTATCCATTTGAGCCCCACCGAAGCATCCACATAACTTCCGGGCAAGGGCCGCTCCGGCCATAGCCCGTACTCAAGCGACACGGCAATGACATTGGCTTCAGCAACCAATGCCATTAAATGGCTGTGAAAAAGTGGTGAAAAGGCAGACTCAAAGCAAAAGCCACCACCATGAATATAGTAGAGGACTGGGACTTTTTTCGTCGGGTCAAGGATTTTAGGTAAGTAAATTCGGGCGGATACAGGTGGTTCGGTTGAAATTGTAACATCTTTGGATTGGACCCCGGTATTTGGGTCGTTAGATGGAGGGATTTTTTGGGTCGGGTAGTGTATTTCGACCCGCCCATCTTTGTATGCTGTCAAGAATCGGAATTTACGATCTATTTCATTGCTGCCCATTTGAGGAGAGAAAGCTTAAAGCAGCAAGAAAGATACATTGCTTTGGGAGTTGGAACGTCAATATATAGAGAACATAACAGACCACAACTACCAAATGAAAAATAAAAAGATCTTATCGTTCTCTTTTCCATCCAATATTTTTATATAAAAACAAATAAAGAGTAGTAGTTAAGCAATTGCAAGAACTTTATAGGTGGTGGTGCAGAAAAGAAAACCACGTAAAAAATGTGTGGATAAGAGATATCACCGAACCTCCATTTGTCCAGCAGTGAATAGCGATCCGTTGGAGGAAGGGACAAAGCTTTGATTGTTGAGCGATGGAAACAAACAATCCCAGCACAAACTCCAAAGATGGATCTTTCTCAAATATTATTAATGTCATAATTGTTTTTTAAAGAATAATTTTTAAATTTTTTATATTTATTTATTATTAAAAAATTAACAAATAAAAAAATTTGTCAATAAAAAAAATCAACTTGATTTCTAAAAAAGTATTTTCTTGAAAAATTTAGAAGAAAAATATTTTCTAAAAATTATAAAAAATTTAAAAATATCATATTATTTATTGATTATATCAACTTTGATCCTCAAATTTTTAATTACTATATGTATTTTATTTTGAATATTTATTTTTTAATTTTATCTCTTAAAATTTAATTTTTATATTAATTATGATCCTTATTTTTATAATTATTATTTGCTTTTCTCTTTAACTTTTTTATCTATCAAATTTAATTCTTATTATTTTGATTGTTACTTATTTTATTTCAAATAATTTATGAAATGTTAATTATTATTATTTTAATTTCTTCATCTTTTATTTTTTTATTTTTTAGACTTGATCTCTATTGTTTATTTTATTTGAGATAATTTATACTTGATCTTTATTGTTTATTTTATTTGAGATAATTTATAAAATTATATATTTGGAAATTTCATTCTCAGTCAACTTTTTAATTTATAAAGTTTGTTTCTTATTATTTTAATAAACTTAAAAAAATAAAATATTAATAAGTTATTTTCCAACTTATTTTTCATTACATAACAAAATACTGAAAATTATTTTTCAACTTATTTTTTATTTATACTACTAAATATAAAAAAAATAATTTACTATTTTGGAATTTATTTTTCAAAAAGAACTCAAAAACAAACTACATCCCAGTTTGAGCCAATCTAAATCCATTTCCATTTATGTGGGCCGGGCCGCATACCCAGCTTATATAAATAAGATTTGTGGGCTGGGCTTTACTGTTTTGTTTTTTAGCATGGGCAGACTCGTTGTTTCGGGTCGTTTTTTTCTGGTGGATTGGGTCATCCAGACCCTTAGAAAACCAGGACTTTCATGCCCTGTATTTGTGCAGTTCTGAGCTGTGCACCTTTATAATTGAATAATTTGAATTCCAAACCCCCAGGGCTACTACACGCGGTCTAGTTGAACCATAAAATAACCACCCACTTGGAAGGCCCTCTGCACATCAAGACCATCATATAAACTGTAATAAAGCGTCTTGCATGAAATTATTAAATGAAAAGAGGATACGAAGTTCCATTACAGGACAATAGACAACAAAGTTTTACAAAAGATTGAACTGGTCCTGTTTGAGAAACGAAACAAACTTATGCCTCATTTCCCGAGCCTTGTCACCATCGAGATCAAGCAAATGGAAGCAGTGGTTTTCGTTTTCATTCTCAACAAGTTCAACAGTTCCCTTCCATCCACTCCTTCTCAACTTCTCATAATAATTCTTAGCTGCAACAGTCAAATAGTCTTCCTCGGCTACAAAGATCAACATCCTCTCACACCCAAGCCTAGCAAGATCCTCTACACCCGGATTCATCCTAGGATCATTCAGCCCACTATTAGTGGGGCACATGTACAACCACATTTCATCATCCTTGGTGCCCCCAAAGAAGGGATGCACCATGACCACCCCCACAACCTTCACCCCTCGGGGCAACCCGATTGACCCGACCCGAAAAGCCAAAGTATGTGATATGTTACCTCCAGCACTATCTCCCCCAATAAAAACTTTCCCAAGATCAGCATGACAATTCAGCCATGGGTCGTGTCCATTCCCTTTAACATGTGATGCCACCCACTGGAGCACAGCCCACGAATCCTCGTAGCATGCGGGTATGGGTCGGGTAGGAAAGAGACCATACTCCACAGAGACAACTATAAAGTCAGCCTCACCAGCAACTTGGTTGCACAACTTGTGGTAGGCAGGAGAAAAGGCAGATTTCATTGAGAATCCTCCTCCGTGGATGTATAGTAAGAGGGGGAGTTTTTGGTTAGGGTCTTTGAGTTTTGGCAAGAAAATACGGGCAGAGACTTGAGGTTCAGATGAGATAATTACATCTTTGGACTGGACTCCAGTGACTGGATCATCGGACGGTGGGATCTTTTTGTTGTGTGGATAGAATAATTCAACACGGCCGTCTTTGTAGACCTGAAAGAACCTGAATTTGAGGGCGATTTCATTATTTGGAGATGATGCCATTGATAAGAAAGAAAGAAAGGAAGAAGGAAAGAACAAGCATTTACTTAAGAAAGGATACTTGGGAGCGAGAAGGATAAATCTGAATTGATGTGCATAAAGAGGGGGGGGCGCCTCATCCTTAATAAAAGGACTGAGCCAATCAAGAGAGGCATTGAACAGCAACCCGTCTGCCAAAAATAATTGCTTTGCTTTACAGGCACCTGCCATTCTTTGATTCCCCGAAAAATAAAACCCCAACCAAAGAAACAATTGCATGATCAGAAACCATTTAATAATCCTTTCACCAGCTAAAATATAATATAATCATTTTAGGGTGTTTTTATTCCAAAAATGCTTTCTTTTCTGTAAAACACCTCCAATCTTACCTACTATCTTTAATTTTTTAATTGGGTGTTTAAGAGTATAATAATTTTTATTTTTTATGTACTTAAAATGTGCTTCAAAAAAAACATCAAATTGATATTTATATTAAAAATAAAAAAAATCTAAAAAATAATTTTAATAATCTTCAAGTAAAAAATATATTTGAATATAGCTGTTAAATCTAAAATCATGATAAAATTAAAAACTACAAGAATCAATTATATAATTCTTGAAAACAGAAAAAATAATGTCTTGGTTTCTTTAAAATACAAAAAGGGAGTTTTATTATATTTAACTCTATCTCCAGGGAAAGGAAATAATATTAAACACGAAGGCGGCCAGCAACAGCCAGTGGCTCGCACGATTATTAATGATAGTCAATAGTAAATTATTTAACTGGATTTGATGAAGACAGGCAACATCTCGTAGTTATTACGTTAAGATTTTTTTATTTTTTAAATTTTTTTTAATATATATATTTTTTAAAAAATCGCTTGGAGTTGATTTTATATGCCAAATAAATTAAAAAAAAAGCAGGGACATGTTTGTTGAGACAGTAAAGTCTTAAATTATTGTAATAAATATTATTGTTAAAATTATATTTATCGAGTAGCTTTGTATTATGACTCCACAAATAAGAAGTTTACTGGGTTTTGAAACCCATGTTCTACCTAACATAACGACAAGAGCTGCCATTAATAAAATAAACTCTCTCTCTCTCTCTTTTTCATTTGCTGATCAAAATTAAAACCTTTCCGTGTCGAAGGGAAACTTGACTCGCCAACACAATGAAATAACCAATACAAACAAGCCAGTAAAATCATCTGTTTTGCTAAAAGAGAGGAGGAAAAAAAAGAAAAAAAGACATGTGTTCTAACTGGGCAGTGATGTGTTCAGTTTCCCTTATACGTACGTACATACCATGTTGTAATTCTTCAACTTGAATTGGATTTGAAGCACATAAATGAAATACCTAACCCTTCAAGCCTATACGTGTGTGTGTGTATTATATTTGTTAGAAGGGGAAGATGAGGCAGCTTGCACGGCTAGAGTACACTTTTCCCAGAGTTTATTGCTCCCTGCCAGAGCCTCTTCTTCGTGTCCCTTGTATTCTGGAAATTCGAGAACAACCCTCATCAATGCATCATCACATGCCTTCCCCATCAGCAAGAGTTTTTGACAGCATTCAAGAGTAACGGGCTTTCCCATAAAGGAGCCATATAGAATCTCATCCCCACATCTCGCTCCTGTTACGGCTACACATTGCTCGACATAGCTGTAAAGCCCTGGTTCAGCTAAAGGACTCAGCTCCACTTCAGCTAGAACCATTGGTGCGACAACTATGAACAATGCAAGAATGACATTAAAGATGTTGAGCTTTGCCATGGCTAGAACCTTGTGTGGTCAATTTTCTAATTTGATTGTCTAGCTATGATCAGGAGAGTGGTATACATGTTGGGATGGAAATGGTTTGTAATTTATACAGTGAAAGGGGATATTGTTCAACAGTTAATGATCAAAACGTTTTATCATTTCTGTTTTGTTCGAATCTATTTGAGTTTTGTGGAGGCGAGTTTATTTTAATCAATGCCATTTATTCAGTCATAAATTTACGTTTGAAACTAATGTTTCTATAAACTAAATATACTCCAATAGCTGTTTCTTAAGGGAAAAAAGAGAGAGAAGAATCCATATATCCATGATCGCGTGCAGGATTTTTATTCCGACATGCAAATCTTTGAATTTAATTTTTTATTATTATTTAACGTTGTATTGAATTTAATAGATAAATTAATTCTTCTTCTCTATTTTTTTATATACAACTGATCCGGTGCCATCTGTTATATATACGTGCGTGTTTCGGTGAGCATGTGGGTTTTCGGCTTTGGGCTTGAAAATTTTAGGTCCGGGTTTGAAAATACAAACTCACTGAATTCGTACTCGAAACCCAACTGTTTCGGGTTTTGAAAATAACATTTAGATTTAAAAAGCAATGCCACATGATCCCCATCGCTGCCATTTGTATATGCAAGCAACAGTCAATTCTTTAAATTTTTTTATGAGGGATAGAAATTTTATTGAACTGGATAACTCTGCATGTGAATCATTTTTTTCTGAATATAGAAATTAAAATGAGTTTACATGTCACGTTGAGACTATTAGAAAAATATACAATAAAAATCTTGTTCGTATAGACAATTATTGCGGATAAAGAAAAAAAAAGAAAAATATTACCATGAATAGCTATTTTAAAACTCAAAACACTCAAACTAGAACAAGATAATTAATTAGTATTTGTTACCGAAAAATGTTATGGATACTCAACAAGTAATTAATAATATCAAATTAATTATTTTTCAGAATTATTTTTTTAAAGATGATTACAAGTAGAAAAGATAAATGATATTATTTTTATTTTTAGTAGGTTATAAATTTTATTTTCTAAGTACTTGCAATAATTTTTTTTTAAAAAAAATATATCAAGAAAATAATTAATAGGGCATGAGCGATTATTAGACGAACACCATAAAATTTTACATGTAAACTCACCATGCATCAAACAAACAAACAAACAAACAACAAGTGCCCTTTGTCTATCTAGCAGATTCATTGGTCTTTTTTATTTAAAAAAAACAATAAAAAAATAAAAAATAGAAGTGTTCTTTCCTTCTTTGTTTTCCAACAACACACGCACCCTCCGATCATTAGCTCTTACCTTTTGATTTTCCAGCTGATAAAGAAAATAATACATGGTGGCGGGCTGATGGATGAACAGTGAAAAAAATTGTTTCGAAATAAACTCATTAGGCTTGGTTTTGAACTGATAAGTTATGTTGAACAAGTTTTATAATTAAGGGTGTTAGTTCTTGGAGATCCTTTAGTTTAGCCCAGGGCTTTTTTTTCGCAGCATATTCAGGATTTGGATGAACCTAGATGAAAAACGTCAAGACCCGGCCCGAACTTGAAACAGTCGAGTGATTAAGGGCTTGGTCTTCAAGATCAGAAAATGAATTAAAATCTTAACCAAATTGTTATTTCGGGTTTGGCTTGATTTTTTAAGTTAACGTAAATAATAGTAATCACACTATATACAGGTATATAAATATAATATAGTTATACTAAACAGGGTGGTTTGCATTAACACATGACCAATAAACAAATGCCATTTGCCATTGACAACTATTATATGTTTCGATAAAAAATCGCTATGAAACTTGGGTTATCTGATGCGATAGTTTTACCCTTATTTCTAAATTATAACCACCTTTAATACAATTAAAAAAATAAACATGCAAATAAAAATCTTTGAAACAAAATAATTTTTATATATAAGTTTTGATTTTACTTATATATAGAAAAATACACGAGTAATGCATACATTTCTTTATATTTTAAAAAAATATTATAATCCGCACAAAAGACACAAATCAAGCATCTAGTTTTTTTTTTTTTGAAAAATGATGCTAAACTCGAAGTATAAATTTGGAATCAACACGCAAGTCTTAAGAGTTTGAACATTATTTCCCTCGAGATGATTGGCATAAAGAAATCTATACCGGATTATAAATTTTATCCCGACTTTAAAAATCGAAATTAACTATATAGATATCCTTATGTTGGGATTGCAAAATTCTCTAAACGCATTTAGAGGTTTAGTTATTGTTTCGAGTTTGATTATTTTTGTACACCATTCTATTATTTTTGCAGTGTTTTATTTGTCTATTAGGCTGGCAAATTGTGTCTATAAATTTAAAAATTAATCATAATAGGTATAAACTGTTCAATTACTCCAGATAATAATAATAATAAAAAAAAAATTCTCCAAATATCATCGACATCAAAGAAATTCAAATTTGATGGGAAGGATGTGAGGGTCCTTTTCCTCTCGACAGAGAAATGACCATGGAGAGGGTGGCATGGCCCCGCCTTCTCGATAACCTATACCCAATTTTGAGTAAGTTACGCGAGAGTCTTCTTAAACTACTGCAAACACCACAGGAACTTCTTAGCAACATTTTGCCACGTGGATCAGCCTAGACTGCTTGAAAAATTATAAAGAATAAAGAATAAAATTAAAAAAATCGAAAATGAAAGTGAAAAAAGAGGCAGACAAAAAAGTACCTTTCAACGTTAAAATAGATGATGTGACATCTTTCTTTTTTTTTAGTTTAAAGTATAATTATTAAAAGGGGCATGAGCCACCTCGGCCTTTCAAAATCTTTACATCCCAATTCTATATTTCTATCATTGATGAGATACTTGCATTCTCGACAAGAATACATGTATGTTTTTTTTTTCTATGGCTAAGGGATGCCAATTCATGAGCTGATGCATTCAGAATTAACATACAAATTCTTTATAAGAAATATATAAAAAAACTCATATTTATAATTTTATTTGTATATTTATTTTTGCTTTTAAAAGAGGTTTAACTCCTTAAATAAAACAAAAAAAAAATCAAGAAAATAAAAATAATTAGAAACAAATAATTTTACTAAAAAAACTTAAACAAATAACAATAAAAAAATAACAAAGATTATTACATGTCAAAATTCACAAAAACTAAGAATACTATTACAATGAGACTTTAAAAATACACAATTTTATTAATTCTATGTCTCAATATTATTATGAGTTTACCACATATTTTTTATATAAAAAAAATATAGAAAAGCTGTTAAAATAAAATTAAAAAAATAGAAAACATCAACCCCTTCAAACAAGCAAGTAAGCTTCTAGCCCAGCGGTGGGAGCGGCTTGTCCCCTTTCTCCGTACATGGGTTCGAGTTTTACCGTGCACGTCTGTCACCCCCGCGGTGCCTTACCTGCTCACTGTGCTTGCAGAATGTTCAGTGAGCTATGAGGATTAGTCGTGATGTGCGTAAGCTGACCCAGACACCCCACATAAATAAAAAAAAAAAACCCGTGCATCATTAAATCTTTTTATTATTAGACCTTCATTTTCAAATTTATATTATCAACAACTCAAATATAGCATTTTTTTTAACCTGAAATATTCAAATCAATTTATACATATTACAATTGGTTCCAGGTACATTAAACATCCTGCAAACATATAAAACACTGAAAATGATAAATATGCACACAAAAAATTAAAATCAGATATAAAGAAAAGAAACAAGTTATTTCCACCACGAAATGATGGCGTTTTCTAATAAAGGCTACTAATGCTCAGATTTCTTTTATGATCGTTCTAAAATCATCATCTTCTATTTTTCTGGATGTGTTACTACATGTTTCTGAAAGAGTTGGACACGAGCTGATTTATGACGACATACCTATGTAGCATATATAGAGCTACTGTACAATGAACTCATATTATTCCATGGACAAATCAAGGAAAAACCCTGAGCCAGAAACCAAGCAACATGATAAATCAGGCCTTGTCTTTGTTGATGAAAGAAGCGATTCTCTTAAGCAAAGCCACAGCATTCTCGCAGGTAGGATCGCTCAAATGAAACACATGTTCATCATCTTTGCCCTCCATAATCTCCACCACACCTTCCCACCCGCCCTTGCTTAACCTCTCATAATACTGCCATCCTCTTTCCCTCAAGACATCCTTCCCGCCAATAATAACAAGCAGCCTGTCGCACCCCAGGCTATCCAATCTTGGATCAACAAGTGGATTAATCAAAGGGTCATCCAACCCACTTGATGTAGGGCATACAAAATGCCATATAGCATCGATCCTTGATTTTGTTTCCAAATTCTCGCCCTCTGTACCGATATGTTCTTTGCCCCAGAAATATGGATGTACTAAGATAACACCTGTGAGGTCAATACCAGACAGTTTTTCTTGACCATACCTCATAGCAAGTTGGTGTGCTAGGTTAGCACCAGCACTATCTCCAGCAAGAAAAACCTGACCGAAATCAGCATGAGAGTTTAGCCACTCCTCAGGGCCATCTCCATTAACATGAGAGGCAACCCATTTAAGAGCTGTCCATGAATCGTCATATGCAATAGGAAGGGGGTGCTCCGGGGCCAATCTATAATCAACAGAGATTGCTAGAACGTTGGACGCCGCAACTAGATTGTTAAGGTGATCATGGTAACGAAAATTGAAGGGGGTTTCAATGCAAAAGCCACCGCCATGATAGTAAACTAGGACTGGGAGTTTTTTATCAGGGTTGGTGTTACGTGGTCGGTAAAGTCTAGAAGAGAGATTTAACTCCGGTGAGTAGACTGCATCTTTAGACAGGACGTTTGTTTTGGGGTCTAATCCAGAAGGGACGATGTCGGTGCCCCTGAGTCTCTCTACGTGGCCATCTTTGTAAATGCGAAGGAAGGGAGAGTAATCGTAGGCAACTTCAGGAATGGTTGAATCCATGGAAAGACGGGAACGAATCAAGAAAGGGTAGTTCTTGCTTGGTGTGGATCTACACGAGAGGAGATTACGGTGAAAAGTAAACGACTGAGAACCACTTGTTAAGGAAGGGCAGAGTGATAAGGAGATGCACATGATTGGTGAGGATTTGTATGAGAGTGGGAGTCCTCAATTATTGCGCTTTTATAAGCAAGGATGGACGCTGCAGGTGTTACGGATTTCTTTTGTTATATGGTTTTTTTATTTAAAAATATAAAATTACATTTATATTTAATGAAATAAATTGAAAGATACATGAAGCTGTAATAAACAACTAAAAAGAGAAGCTGTCTTTTTTATAATAAAAAAATAAATATACATGCAAATATTTTTTATAAAATAAATATTTTTTTTCAAAAAAATTCAAGGAATGAGAGAAGAGATTGTAAAAAGTATCCATTATATTAGTAAAATATTCATATCCAAACAAAGAAATCTAACGCATCGTCTCATTCCATTGGATTACATTTTCTTTACTATATATTAATTACATCACATACATCAAGAAAAAATATATAAAAGATGTTGAAGATATAACCTACAAGCATCGCAAATTTAAGAGATTGAGAGAAAAAATAAGAGAGGGGTGCCTGTGTGGACGAGTCTTGCCTATACATAAAACTGCACACTAAAATAATATTAATAAAAGAAATAAAACGTGAAACGTAAAATAGCATCGTGTGGAAGTGTCCAGTGCTTGTACAAAAAACGGGAGCCTCTAATTCTGGCCTATGATAATTTCAGTTTGACGGGGAAATCGAGGGTCCGTATCTGCAATTCAAAAGACAACTGCCCTTTAAACGAGAACATATTTTCCAAATAAATTGGTATGAAGAGTTGCATTGATATCTGTATACGAAAATATTGAAAAATCTAAATGAAATTAAAAAATGGAAGCAAATAAAAATAGACAAGGGAGGGGATTCGGCGTGACCCCTTACAGAACCTGCTAGATTGACCGGAAGTGCCTGCAGAACATGACAAGACAATGCCCTCGACCGACCGCGTGACCCTCTCATTAGCAAATCGACAACCATTATTTTTTACAACGTGTTTGTTTTTTTTGTATTTAAAAAATTAAAAATTTACTATTATTTTTTATTTTTAATCATTTTTAAAATTTATAAATGGTTCTGACATTTTAATATTAAAAATATAATTTTAATTATAAATATTTTATAAAGTTAATAAATCCTTAATTAAGTATATCCACTAATTAGTGAAAGACAAAATTAGTGGAGTATTAATGAAAAATAAAAATTTATGGAGATGAGTTATTGACATAATTTATACCATAATTTATGAATTTTGTTTCCTAACTCTTCCTGTAAATAGACAATGCCACCAAACTTATTATACATAGTAAGAAAAAGAAGTGAAGAGGAGAGTGAAAAGAGAGTAATCTCACAAAATTATAAGGTATTTATAAGAGAATAAGTAATGTATTTTCTCCTAATAATAAAGAGATTTTAGTTATTTTTCTATTACTTGAGAGATGTTATAATTCTCGTATTATTTAGTAAACTCTTTTTATAACTGTTTGTGGACGTAGTTCAAATTAGATAAACCACATAAATTATTATGTATTTTATTTTATTTTTTATTTTTTATCTTGTCAGATTTCCATATTAACATCCTAACACAAATATTTTTATAATAGACTAATCATTGTTATCTGCATTTGAGTGTTTTTTTGGTATGCAGCAAAGTTATATATATATATATATATTATAAAAAAATGTAATAAATAATGTATTTAAAAAATACATAATTAATTAAGTCGATGGCCACATCCTAACACAAATATTTTTATAATAGACTAATCATTATTATCTGCATTTGAGTGTTTTTTTGGTATGCAGCAAAGTTATACATATATTATAAAAAAATGTAATAAATAATGTATTTAAAAAATACATAATTAATTAAGTCGATGGCCACAATTCTAAGTAAAAAAATTAATTAAATTTATCTGATACACAAATGGAAATACTATCTAACTATCTGTAACTTGGAAAGTTACACTTATAAGGAATACAAGAGGTTTTAAATTTAAGTGAGAGCATATAATTTTTATAAAAACTTAAAATAATAAAAAATTTATTTGTTTATTTGAGTTCATAAAATATATTTTTAGGAGGTAATTTTTTTTTAAATAAAAAAATATGCATGGAATACGACACGTATTATTCAGCTGCGAGGACTTTGAGATGACCTCTCAAAGTGCTAAACATCAGCGAGAATAATTGTCACCGGGACCTGAAAAAAACACATTCTTAGTATTAGAATATGCTCATAGTGAATTTTTAATGAATTATCAGAGATTAGTGTGATCCTAATTTTCACATCTACAAACCTTCTCCGCTCACTTCTCAACACCTCAGAATATTTATTTAAAATATATATTTTTCTAAATATTTTTTTATTGTGCTACATTATATATATAAAAAAAATATCTGTGCCCCAAGCCTGAAACATTCAGATCCACCACCCCTTGGTAGCCCACGAATAACTCAACGGTCTCCATGTACATTTGGTAATCAATATCAGATGCTTACGTGATTTTCTTACTGTAAGTAGGCCCACATAACAACGTTAAGGCATGCTCATTCCAAGTATAGGACCCACCCGACGCCCTCTTTTCCTGCTCAACGCTACACCACCCACCATTCAGAGCTGTTATTCAAATAATTAACCAATACTCTAGAAGCCACGGGTCATTCACGGTATTTCAATCCATAATAAAATCTGTTAAAATAATCATTTTATCTTTCTTTTTTTTTTCTTTTTTGTAAGGCTCGGCTTAAGGGTAGGATAGTGTTTTCACGTATCTCTAAAATCACAGATATTTGAAGCAAGTGGTCGATGCTTTTCCCAAACCTCCAAACAGTGAAACTATTTCTTTGCCCGCCCCCCAGATAAAAAAATCATGACCAGCTGGACAAGGGGTTTTTTGGTTTTTTATTGTTACTGTACAGTGTAAATACGATATTAACCCTGGATGAGAAAAAAGGATAACTTTGTGTTTTGGGGTATTTTTGCACCATGTACGTGGGTATTTTATGTAATTGTCAAAGTCATCGAGGATATTTTAATATTTTTACATTATTTATTAACTTTCAAATTAGAAAAACGGGAGCCGAGTGTATTACGTGTCATGCAGACAACGTATCTGACACCACCCAGTGGTTAAAACTGGCTTTGTACTATCTCCTTGGAGACTCCACTGTCTCCTTTTCCATTTAGAACAGGCGTGTGGTAATTAAAGGTGGTCGTATTGTCAACAATGGTTGTTTTTTCCTTTCTTTCTTTTTTGGCAGCTAAAAAACATTGTTATCCTCTTTGTTTGTTTTCGTGTCAATTTCAATGCTCATTTGTTGAATTTCTTGTTGTGTTATGTTTTCTTTTGTGATTTTTTTTTTGTAATCGCATCCTTCAATTACACCTTTTCAAATGTTTTATTTTTATTTTTAATTTTTATTCTTTTAATTTTGGATTCTGTTCTTGTATCTTTTATAGTCTTAGTCGTCATTTTTTTTAATTTTTTATTTCATATCTATTCTTTTGAAAGAAGTTAGTGGTTTATTAATTTAGTAATTCAATTACAATTTATTATTTATTGTGTTTTTAATTTCCATTCTTATTTTTTTAATGTTTTATGTTATTTTTATTTTTATTTTAGTTTTTTTTCAATGTATTCCTTCAATTACAGTTTTATAAATGTGTTATTTTTCATTTCAATTCTTAATTTTAATTATTTTTGGGTTTTTTTATTGAAGTTTTTTTTCTTTAATTTCATCATTTAATTTTTTTAATTTAGCCCTTTGGATTTTTTTTTATTTTATTAAAGTTGATTTTCAACTTAATTTAACCTTCAAACTAAAATTTTTAATTTTTCCTCTAATTAATTTTTTTTCACCCTTAGTTTTTATTTTTTTTTAATTTTACCTTTTAATTTATTAAAAACTCTGATCTAATAATTTTGCATCAGTTTTTATGGGTTTATATAAAAAAATATATCCAGTTTTTTTTTAAAAAAGAAATTACAACCGGCGATGAAGTTTCAGCGCGGGTTAAATGGCTAGGTGTTTCTAGACTAGGCTTGTAGTTTTTTCTTCTTCTTTATTTACATCTACACCCCTTTCTCCATGTAAATTAACGTGGGTCACGAGTATAAAAACACCAATGAAGTCTTGAGGAAAGGGAGGGTGTCAAACTCCGTGCACACGTAAGCATGACACCTTCTCACTGCACTTGCTTTTGTCATATTCATCAACACACCCTGTTGCGTGTAGTTCACACTTTTTATGATTACACTCCTCATGCAGTTTAACCTTTCAGGCTTTCGGCTCAGTAGAATCCTTGTTTTGTAGGTGTTCATCAACACCCAGGCCGGTGCGCGTGGGTGGAGAAGATTCCACTCCAAAGACATTTTAAACTGACCCGACCGGTGAAAATACTCTCTCTCATTATATATATAATGAGTTAAAAATAATAATAAAGAAATATTAAGGGTTTAAAATTAATTCAACTTAACCCTTATAACCCAATATAAATAACTAGATTATTGCTGTAAGTAATATTTTTTATTCTCTCTCTTTAATTTTTTTCTCTGTCCTTTATATCTATTATCGCTCTCATTCTCTTAATCTCTTTCCCATCTTTATATTGTTTATTTTCACATAATTATAGTTAATTATTTTAAAGTTTGACGTGATAAAGTAGCATTGCATTTTACAGTTTTATTTTTATTCTTTTTGATAACCCAAAAATTATAAAAAACAAATAAAAATTTCAAGAATTCATATTCAACTTTTATTTTCTTGTACAAATTACAAACTCAAAAATATTTTATAGTTTTTCTTTGCTACTCTATATTTTTTTATAATATATATATCCTAACTGTGTTTATAAAATGCTTAAATATAATTTTTATTTTGTTTTTTTATACGAAAACTGTAATAATTTTTATGTTATTGCTAATACATGCATTTTAAGAGTTTTATATAGCTACAGCCTAGTATTTTTTCTAGAATTGTTTAAGATAAAAAAAATTAACATGCTCAATCTATAAATATTTGTAATATTTATAGGAAAATTAATTAAAATTACTAAGGTAAAAAATATAGTTAAAAAATTATATTTTTTAATATATAAAAATTTAAATTAGATTCAATTATAAGTCAAACTCAACCCGTTATATCAATCAACCCCGCCACCTAAAACCTCACCACACATAAAATTGCGTGAGATATATGTAAAGAGTCGGAATGTGACACGTTGGATTAAAAATCCTTGAAAAATCTCAAGGGATGGGATGACCATTAATACACGAGCCACGGGTGAACGGACAATAAATTATTATTAACAATTTTCGTGTTCTTTCTTTTTTTTTTAACAAAATATGTTATTTTCAAAGTGATTAAAAAAAAAGTGATATAAGTCATAATTTACATATTAAAAATTTTAGTTTTTGATTAAATCCAAATCTTATAATGAGCTTAAGTAAAAATTTATTCATAATCAAATATATTTAGCTTTTGAGTTGAAATTCAAAATACAACTTCAATTGATTTTCAAAAGTTACGGCCAAATATAATTTAAAATAAATTTAAATTTGAAATATATTAGATAAAAATGAATTGGAATAACCTTTTTATATTTGTTTTTATATTTTAAAAAATTTAATTTTTTATTTATTTTAAATTAATATATTTTTAGTATTTTTAAATTATTTTGATAGATTGATATTAGAGATAATTTTTTAAAAAATAATTATTAATAAGCTAACACAAAAAATTACACAAAAGAAAACCACAGCTATACTATCGAATAAAGAATTCATGTATTATAAGTTTTAATTATGAGTTAAAAGTTAAAAATATCAACTTTGATTTAATTTAAAAATAAAAAAAATAAATCAACTTGCAAAAATCATTTCAAACACATATAAATATTTTATTTTATTATTTTAATTTTGAACTAATTTATCTGAAATAACAATCAAGGAAAACAAAGAATTTTTCCTGTAGTTGCTAAACAACCAAGTAGAGAAAACGAAGAATTTTTATTGATAGAAAAACAATTTTTAGGATAAAAAATGGATAATTACTCCAAGGAAATAAAATAAAATTAATCCATTATTAATTACACTTGAAAGAAAAGTTAAAAGAAAATGTACTCGGAGGCCACTTTTCACGGTCAAGCAAATAACAAGTTTTGAAATTAATCCATTATCAATTCTTTTGTTTTTGTTTTTTTCTGGCTCGTATTATTAACCACAGTGAAACTACATTATTTTTAAAAAAACATTACACCGTATTAATTTATCTTTTTTTTACTGCTAAAGTACAAAATTACCCCAAAACCGAGGAAGCCAGGCAAGCACGAGAGGTGAGAGATAGAGAAATGGACTACAATGACACATCAATTTATTATTATAAAAGGACAACAATTAAAATAATAAAAGGAAAAAGTAAATGAATCCAAGCAGCTAAACGGCCTTCATTCAACCATTATTCTTCTCTTCTCACGCGAAGATTGAAACTCACCAACTAGTCCCTCCATAATAAAATCAGAAGAAGAAAAAAATCAACTCAGCTGTATGAAATCAACCATTTTCTTCATAAGGGGCCCGATATTCTCACTCTTGGGATTGAAAAAATGAAAGCAGTGGTCCTCCCCTTTAGTTTCATGAAGATCCACAGTGCCACCCCACCCACTATTCTTCATTGCTCCGTAATAAGCCACCCCTCTGCCTTTAAGCATATCTTTCTCTGCCACGCAAACTAAGACCGCATCACACTTCAATCTCAACAGATCCGGATCTACTGCCGGGTTCAATCTTGGATCATCATCTGTCCCGGAACTTGTTGGACACATATATTGATAGAATTTATCTGGCTCCTTGGCCCCAAAATACGGGTGCACTATTAGTAGCCTTTTTATAGCTACACCACCCAATCCGGCAGCGCCAGCTTGGACTGCCACGTAATGGGCTAAGGTGCCACCAGCACTCTCACCGGCTAAGATAACCCGCCCGAGATCTGCGTGTTCATTAATCCATGGTTCAGGCCCTTTCCCATCAGAGTGTTCAGCGATCCATCGAAGCCCAGCAAGTGAATCATCATATGCAGTTGGCAATTTATGCTCTGGCGCTAACCTGTAGTCAATAGACACAGCAATGACACTGGCTTGCGTGGCTAGAGTTGAAAGAAAAGTTTTGAAGGCAGAAGCAAATGGTGAGCCTAAGCAAAAACCACCACCATGATAGTGGACAAGAAGAGGGAGCTTTTTAGCTGGGCCGTCGATTTTTGGGAGGAAAATACGAGCCTTTACTTTGTCCTCCGGTGAGATCACAACATCTTTGGATTGGACCCCTGTTTCTGTATCAACACCTGCTTCAACAAAGTCAGTATTCCAATACCTCTCTACGCGGCCATCGTTGTATACCTTGAAAAAGCCTGGAAAATCATGGGATATTTCTGTGTTGTCAGTAGCCATTGCAAGTTTGAGTGGTCCTTGTGCGGAAGGAGTTTTGGCTAATCTAAAAGATAATGATTGCGAAGATGAAAATCACAGGGTAACTTAACAAAACACGAGGCTTATGTATAGTGTCACAGTATCTTGTGGAAGTCTCTGACGCTAACAAAACACGAGGCTTATGTATAGTGTCAGGGAAGTCTCTGACGCGGACCTATATATACAGAGGTGGCTGTCTATTTAGTTCCAGGGAACCCTTTGGAGTCGAAAAAATTGGTTTCGAATTTGTGATAATCAATCACTATGGTGAGGAGTTTGACTTTTTCTTACGCCAACAAATAGAAATAAAAAAAATGTATAAATTAAGTTAAGAACAATTTATAACTTAGTCTTTCTATTTTCAAGTAACAAATAATATAGTCCTTGTTTTGTAAATTATTAATCCCTTGACTCACCTTTTCTAAAAAATTCTCAAATTATCTTCATTTCTCTATTTCTCAGCGCATCAGGCTCATTGGATGAATCATAAGTCATAACAATAAACTGGTTCTGGCTTTCAAAAACTTTACCCACCATGCTTGATTGATAACCAAACGCTGTTTTTTCTCTGTCTATGAAGAATTCTGTCTTGTTTGTTTTTTGGTGGCTAGAAAGTTGAAACATTTGAAAATGGAGATCTAGGTTTGACTATGATCAAAGTTTTTGATCTGCTCAACCAAGTTTGCTAAAGGAGAATGTATAAAGTATAGTGAATCTAGTTTGGATCGATTAGATTTCAGTTTTTCTAAGTCCGTCCGTAGAGTTGTTGCAACTTGTGTGTGGTGGGTTTTTTTTCCGAATTAATTTAGAAAAAATTACAAGATAAACATGCTTGGGTTAAGATAAAAGATAATGAACTAAATTGTTTATTTATTAAATATATAGTAACTAAGTTGTGATTTATTATGTATAAAATTAAAAGAAATTAATGTTTCATGGCTGCATTTTACACGATGAAACTACTGATTTTCTCTTTGAAGTCAATTTCATCAATTTAGGTTTTAGGGGTAGAAAAATCTTTTTTACAGCATACATTGGTCATTATGAGAAAGAACAAGTTTAGATATTGCGTTTACATCTTTAGTGCACAGTTTAATTATTTAAATGCCATTAAAAAAAAAACTTGGTCAATGGGCTTTTTAGTTTTTGACCTAATTTTTACATAGTCGAGCTACTCTATTGCCCTTGAAAATTAAAAAAAAAAAAACCTTTGATTTTGGGTGCTATTTTATCTGTTTACATTTGGTTATTTCATTGTTACCAAGTGTTATTAGAACTTATAAAGTGATTTGGTAAATAAAAAAATAGAAATGAATGAATAATAATGGTAGCCTTTAAACGATGAGCATGGTGGTGTCCTATCTTCCAGGACAGCGATTAAAGCTTCTTGGTGTCTTCTCCACTCGACCAGTTTGGCGCGTGATTTATGCTTAGAGCATGAAGCTAAATAAGAAGCCAAAAATAAAAAATTAATTTTTTAATTTTTTTCTTGTTTTTCATATTTTAAAGGAAAAATTAAATAAAATATTAAAATATCTTTTCTTTTTTATAAATGCTATTCATATGAATCTTTCAAAAAAGTCAAAACTAACAATGTAGGGCCAACAAAAAAAATAAGTCAATTAAATTTAGCTATATAAAAAAAAATAACATCAAAATCATTAAAAAAAAATACAACATTTATTTATTTCTCTCTAATAGAATTGACTTTTCATATGGCTTTTTTCCCTTGAAATATACATTGTAAAAAATCTATATCTATATTATTTAAAATACTATTTTATTAATTTACCTCTTTAAAATAGCATTTCTTATTGAAAATACATTTACTTAATTTTTGTGATGTCCTTTAAAAAAATCAAATTAGCTTTTTAGATTATTGTTTCTAAGACTTGGTCCCTATTCTCTTTGACACATTTCTTTTACTTAGACTAGTTAATGAAATTAAGATTTTTTTTTGTAATTTCATTCCCTGGATAATTCTCATTTGGTTCTCGCTTTTTAAAAGAAAAACTGTTTTTTAATTAAATTAAATTAATTATATAAGTATAAATATTAAATTAAATTAATTACATAAATATAAATACAAAATACTCACTTGTTTACTTTACATGTCGTTAATTTTATAACAAGTACAATTTTTTTTATTTATCAAATTCTTAGGATATTTTTACTCGTTTTAAAATGTTGCTATTACATAACCATTTTATTTTATATTGTCAAAAAATCAACTAGCGCCGGCGGCATAGGCGGCAAGTCTGTCTAGTTGTTTTCTATTTGACACGGAGGGAACAAGGAAGTTGAATGACAAAAATTACGCAAACACAAGCTTTTTCAATTTGGATATGGAGAAATAAACAATTCTCTCTTTTTGTTTGTGTCGGTGGATGAACATGGGAATTAAAAATGCAGTGATACATGAACTGATTGGTTATTATTGTTTTACTTTCCTTCCTTTTCTTCTGTTGATTTCTTTCTTGCAGCCTGCTAAGGTATTTAATAAATTATCCTGGCCTAGCAAATAAATAAATAAAAATCTTGTTAAGAACCTATAGAAAAAAGGAATTAATGTCGGCATAAAGAAGAAGGTCAAGAATTAATACCCCATAAAATCAGCATTCCACTCTCAACCCCGCATCAGTTAAACTGTGAAACAAGGAATAACACGTTACTCACTTCAAAGATTTATGCCTTTTGTTTCTCCTCGGAAATTATGGATTCATCAAACCCCACTGGAATACTTCATGATTTCGCCCCCTTGTTTCGCGTTTACAGAAATGGCAAGGTAGAGAGGATCACAGCTGACGCAGAGACTGTACCACCATCCAGTGACCCTCATACAGGAGTCCAATCCAAAGACACTGTGGTCTCACAGGAAAACAGCCTGTCTGTCCGTCTCTTTATCCCCAAAATCAAAGATCCAAGCCAAAAACTCCCTCTCCTGATATACATCCATGGTGGTGCCTTTTGCTTCGAGTCTCCTTTCTCTTCCATGTACCATAACTACCTCACTAATTTAGCACACCAAGCTAATGTTATTGCTGTGTCCGTTCAATACAGAAGAGCCCCAGAGCACCCTCTCCCTATAGCATATGATGATTCATGGGCTGCGATCCAGTGGGTTGCTTCACATGTAAGTGGTGATGGAGTTGAGTCCTGGCTCAATAAGCATGCAGATTTTGAGAGAACGTTTTTGGCTGGTGATAGTGCTGGTGCTAACATTGCACACAACATGACTGTTAGAGCTGGGGTTAATGGGCTATTCGGAGTCAAAACCGTTGGTATGGTTTTGGCGCACCCGTTTTTTGGTGGCAAAGAGCCTGATTTTTTTAGTCCTGTGTTAGAGTACATCTTTCCTGGTGTTAAAATCTACGATGATCCTAGGATTAATCCTGCTGGTGCTGGTGGAGTGGAGCTGGCAGGCTTGGGGTGCAGTAGGGTGCTAATTTTTGTTGCTGGGAAAGATGGCTTGAGAGAAAGGGGATACAGTTACTACGACGCATTGAAGAAGAGTGGGTGGGGTGGAGTGTTGGAGATTGTCGAGACTGAAGGAGAAGATCACGTTTTTCACTTGTTTAACCCCAATTGTGACAAGGCTGCGTTCGTGATGAAGCAGGTTGTTTCCTTCATAAATCCAGTCCATTAGGTCCATTCCTCTACCTTCCTGCTTTGCGTGTTTTCTTTCATAATTTACATCATTTTATTTTCAAGAGATGCATGCCTTTTGGAAATAAAACAAGTATATTCCTTTTACTTTCACAGCACGTCCGACTGTTAGATCCGCATGCTTGTAGATCCATGGTTCACGCAAAGCTTTGGCCAAGCCATGTCCATGATCATTAGATGCAATTCTTGTTGGATGTAATGGATTATATGGAATGTAATAATTCACTTTTATGTTTGGCTGTATAATTTTCAAAATTATAATGTATAACATACCATTATAATTGTGATAAGTCATTGCATAAAAAAGTAGGCTTTCGATCACTTCCCTGTAATAAAAGAGCGTTCGTTTACGAGGTCCACTGGGCAACCTGCTCCCCTAAATTCCTCCTCTTTTCTTTCACGTTATTTTTGCACAAATTAATAAAATAAAATAAATAACGGGTAAATGCCTGGGAAGTGGGAATGGACTTAAACAGCGGGGCTCGTTCGGTTACTGCCCCCCAAGTCCAAGCACGTCCTCTCCCATTGCATATATACAGGCACGAACATGAGTCGATGCCGGATGGATTTTTCATTATACAAAAACATACGGGCTTCAACAGCTGCTTAGGGATATTTTTTTAAAAGTAATTTTTATTTAAAAATATTTTTTTATTTATTAAAATTTATTTTTAATACATTATCATTTAAATTAAAAAAATTAAAAAAATCAATAAAATATTTTTTTAAAATATTTTTTTAAAAAATACTTTTAAAATACTAAACCAAATGAACATTAAGTAAAATTATAAAAAATTAAAACATGAAAACTAATAAATCTTTATTTATAAAACGGGATATTTTACGGTAAAATCACTATATATATATATAAACCTATGAAAGAGAGTACAAATGCAACTCCACTTATAAAATTATTTGTTTCTATTAACATTTTTTAAAATATTGAATTGATATGAAATGGGTGAATATCTTATCCAATTTTAGTAAAACCAAATCAATTTATATTTGTATTTAATTTAGTCTTAATCACGCTAGTAAATACCTGATCTAAATAAATCGAAAAACATTAAATGCTCAGATGTTCGAGTGAAATTACAGGGATACGGATAGATCAACAGAATAAAATTAAGAATTACTCCTTTTTTTTCATTAGGAAAGTGGGAATGGAGGATTTTAATTTTAAATCCGTGGTCTTTAGGATGGAGTAAAGGTATTCACCACTGAATTCCTTCTGTTTATTGATCACTCTTGAAATCTATCATGATTATCACACGTACATTATCATCCTTAAATTAACTTTAAGAAAAGTGTCGTTGTCTAACAACAAAAAAAAAACTTTTAGAATGATAATTTTTTCAATTTTATTATAAAATAATATAAATTATATATTTAAATTTTATTTAATAATTTAAATTATTAAATTAAAATATTTATTTAAAATGATATTGGAGCATTAATTATTAAGTGATCACAAATTTAAATCTTATCCTCCATTTATTTGATAAAAATTAAGTACAAAATAATATAAGTTTATATAAGTTTCAAGTTTGAAAACTTGAGAAGATATGTTAAAAAATAATACAAATCATATATTAAGACTTCACCTAATAGTTTAAATTATTGGGTTGAAATAATTTTTTGATATTATATCAGAACTTTAATAACAAAATAGTCAGGAGTTTGAATTTTATTATTTTTATTTGTTTGATAAAAATTAAGTATAAAATAATATAAATTCTTTAACTTAAGTTATTTAAGTTATTTTTCATTTGAGAGTATATGTTAAAAAATATTATAAAATAATTAACCGTTTAAGTTATTAAATTAAAATATTATTATTATTATTTTTGGATAAATTTAACTTTTAATGGGTGCACTCGGTCCCAGATAATTTTGGGCAACATCACGCCTCTTCCTCTTTACCTCCAAAGAATGGGTGCCTCTCTTGCACACTGAGGATCTTTGGGAAAACCAGCCTAAGATTCACACGGTCGTTGAGTCAGGGTTCGGATCCTTGCCCGTTACAATGACCGACAACCCAGTGGAGTCCAGGCCGTGAATCATGTAAGCAACTGGTAAGGATGTTCTGGGGACAATCTATGATCAAGACAAATGGCAATGGTATTGGCAAGATTGACAAAAGAAGTGAGAATTTTTTGGCTTACAGTGTCAAAATGGAGATCCGGTACAGGAGCCTCCACCGTGATGGTGGATCAGAAGGGGCAACTTTTGATCTGGGCCATTAATATCTGGGATCAAAACAAGAGCTTTGATGCCAGTTTCAGGTGGGATCACGATTCTCTTGGATGTGACCTAGTTTTATGGGCCTGGACCAGTTTCAGGTGGGATAACGGTTCTCTTGGATGTGACCCAGTTTTATGGGTCTGGGCCAGTAGGAATATAGTTATGAAGCCCGTTTAGAAACGTGACTGGAATCATGTTTATTTAAGAAAAAGTTAAAAACATTATTTTTTTATTTTTCTATTTTTTTAATTTTTTGATTTTAAAAATAATTTTAAAAAATAAAAAATATTATTTTGAAATATTTATAAACAAAAATTACTTTAAATCATAACAATTATTATAATTTTAAACATGCCAATAAACCTCCACACTACCAACCTTGAAGCTCGGAAAGGGTGGGGAATCATGGGTTATTTCTTTGGTGTTTGGATCCATAACAAAATTGTGATAAAATTTGTTCTGAGAGTATTTGGCTGCATCGAGTAGGATGGCTAAACAATAAGATATGTGCACAGACATATGAGAAATTAAAAAGACGATCTGATAAACTGAGGTCAGTGGGTCAAAAAATTCTTGGTGAAGGTCACATTCATCGTGTTTGATGAGATAGGTGGCAAAGAAAGATGGGAAACATGTTTTTGGCATATATGGATTCAAGACGTGGTTGAAAAATATAATAGTAATTTATGGTTTAAAATATTTTTTTATTTAAAAATATATTTTTTATTTTTGATATTGATATATTAATAAAAAAAAATAAAAAAAATAAAATTTTATAAAGTGGCTTTCAAATCAATAGTGCACCTACCAATGTTGAATACATAACTTATAATAGTTTAAAATATTTTTTTAAAAAATACTTTTAAAATACTAAACCAAATGAACATTAAGTAAAATTATAAAAAATTAAAACATGAAAACTAATAAATCTTTATTTATAAAACGGGATATTATCATATTTATATATTATTAGAATTTCTTTAAAAAATTTGAAAACTTAATTAGTAATGGATAAAATAATTCTTTAAAATATATATGAAAAAAAATAATAAAAAAATACATAAAGAATATAAGCTTGGTAAGAAATTTGAGCTATGCACCAAAACCTCTAAGACTATCATAGGTTCGAGCTGTTACGCCACCTTTAATGAGTTTCGGTATATTATTCAAGTCCAACATTTATAATTGATTTTTTTCTAAAGTGTATTTTTTAATATTTTATATTAATTTTATACATGTTATTTTAAATATAATATAGCTCAAAATATCATAATAGTAAATTTATATTTTAACTTTTTTTTTTCAAATAAGATTCATAAACTATAAATACATTATGAGATTTTTAAATAAAGATTCACAATTTTTATTATATGTTGTTTATGTGTTTTCAAATCATATTATCTATAATATTATTGTACCTTTTTCTATCTAAAAAAATACTTATTTATGAATTAGATGGTTTTCATTTTCATCAAGTAGAAACTTTTATAGGTGTTGGCTATAAACTAATATGGTCTTCTAAACACCAAGTATAAACTACAAACCATCATATTTAAAGAGAATAATAGATAAAATTGTTATGATTAATTAATTAATTAATTAATTAAATTAACCAATCTAAAAGTCCTATAACCAATTACTTTGATTCTCTAGGACATTATTGATAAGTAAATTATCTTTTAAATTATAGTTATAAAACAATCATTCGCTTTACATGTTTAAAATTTAGAAAAATTAAGTATAAAATAATATAAATTCTTTAACTTAAGTTATTTAAGTTATTTTTCATTTGAGAGTATATGTTAAAAAATATTATAAAATAATTAACCGTTTAAGTTATTAAATTAAAATATTATTATTATTATTTTTGGATAAATTTAACTTTTAATGGGTGCACTCGGTCCCAGATAATTTTGGGCAACATCACGCCTCTTCCTCTTTACCTCCAAAGAATGGGTGCCTCTCTTGCACACTGAGGATCTTTGGGAAAACCAGCCTAAGATTCACACGGTCGTTGAGTCAGGGTTCGGATCCTTGCCCGTTACAATGACCGACAACCCAGTGGAGTCCAGGCCGTGAATCATGTAAGCAACTGGTAAGGATGTTCTGGGGACAATCTATGATCAAGACAAATGGCAATGGTATTGGCAAGATTGACAAAAGAAGTGAGAATTTTTTGGCTTACAGTGTCAAAATGGAGATCCGGTACAGGAGCCTCCACCGTGATGGTGGATCAGAAGGGGCAACTTTTGATCTGGGCCATTAATATCTGGGATCAAAACAAGAGCTTTGATGCCAGTTTCAGGTGGGATCACGATTCTCTTGGATGTGACCTAGTTTTATGGGTCTGGACCAGTTTCAGGTGGGATCACGGTTCTCTTGGATGTGACCCAGTTTTATGGGTCTGGGCCAGTAGGAATATAGTTATGAAGCCCGTTTAGAAACGTGACTGGAATCATGTTTATTTAAGAAAAAGTTAAAAACATTATTTTTTTATTTTTCTATCTTTTTTTTAATTTTTTGATTTTAAAAAATAAAAAATATTAATTTGAAATATTTATAAACAAAAATTACTTTAAATCATAACAATTATTATAATTTTAAACATGCCAATAGACCTCCACACTACCAACCTTGAAGCTCGGAAAGGGTGGGGAATCATGAGTTATTTCTTTGGTGTTTGGATCCATAACAAAATTGTGATAAAATTTGTTCTGAGAGTATTTGGCTGCATCGAGTAGGATGGCTAAACAATAAGATATGTGCACAGACATATGAGAAATTAAAAAGACGATCTGATAAACTGAGGTCAGTGGGTCAAAAAATTCTTGGTGAAGGTCACATTCATCGTGTTTGATGAGATAGGTGGCAGAGAAAGATGGGAAACATGTTTTTGGCATATATGGATTCAAGACGTGGTTGAAAAATATAATAGTAATTTATGGTTTAAAATATTTTTTTATTTAAAAATATATTTTTTTATTTTTGATATTGAATAT